AATTCAAATTTAAAAAAAAAAAAAAAAAAAAAAAGGATGATCTCTGAAAAAATACAAAACATTGAGAAATTAATGAACAGTCAACCTACTAACCAGTTATACGAAGCATTAGAAAAAGAAAACAGGGCTTTATCAGATATAATGAAGGAAAAGACTGAAGGAATCATTATTAGATCAAAGGTTATATGGTATGAGAAAGGAGGAAACGTTTCAGATTAAACAAAACTATTTGAATAAAACTATAATTGAATTGATCAATGAAAATGGAAAACATATTACAGATACAAACAAAAAAACTTCAATAAGAAAAACAATTTTTCAGAAATCTTTATACAAGTAAAATGACATGCAATACTGATTCACCTCTATTTAATCATGGGAAACATTCACAACAGGTAGAAAAGGAAAGCTGTGACGGTCTGATTACAATTAATGAATGTAGTAAAGCACTAGCTAACATGAAAAATGGAAAAAGTCCGTGATCGGATGGGTTTACCAGTGAATATTACAAATTCTTTTGGAAAGGTTTGAAACATTTTGTATATAAATCTATAAATTATGCATACACTCATGGCTCACTATCAGAATTTCAAAACCAGGGAATCATAACATGTATTCCAAAAGAATCCAAAGACAGAAGATTTATAAAAAAAACTGGAGACCTTTAACTTTACTTAATACTGACTATAAAATTGCTTTCTCCGCTATAGCAAACCGGTTTAAAACAGTACTGCCTTCAATTATAAAAGATACACAGAAAGGCTTTATGAGGATTTATTGGAGAAAATACAAAACTAGTATATGATATAATGCATGAATTGGAAGAAAAATAATATGTCTGGTTTATTGCTACTTGTTGATTTTGAAAAAGCCTTTGATTCGATAGAATGGAGTTTTATTCATAGGTCTTTAAAATCTTTCAATTTCGGTGAATCTTTGATTAAATGGATACATATTTTATATCATAATGCAAAAAGCAGAATAATTAATAATGGGTATTTTTCATCATTTTTCGATGTACAACGTGGATGGAGACAGTGGGATCCCATCTCCCCATATCTATTCCTGATAGGTGTTGAAATTTTGGCTATACAATTGAAAAAAATCAAGGATCAAAGGTGTACAAATAAACAATAGAGAATATTTGCTTGGTCAATATTCCTAGATGGTTTTTCAAAGTCTATCTCAAGTGTTCTAACTGACTTCAATATATTTTCTAGTGTCTGGACTTAAACTTAACATAGATAAGTGTCGATTGATATGGATCGGAAACAAGAAATACTCAGAAGTGATTTTATGCCCTGAACATAAATTTGATTGGTTTTCAAAAAACTTTAAACTTCTTGGTATACATTTTGCTTTGAAGTTATTTGAAATCATTGAATTAAATTTTAAAGAAAAACTATCAAAAATAAGAAAATTGTTTTGAATGTGGTATAAAAGAAATCTTACTCTTTTGGGAAAGATCACATTTGTTAAAACACTGACACTACCACTTATCACACATCTACTGTATTCACTACCAAATCCAGGTAAAAAAATGGATAAGTGAAATAAACACAGTTTTTTATAGATTGATATGGGGGTACAAGCCTGACAAAATCAAACGGGATACACTGGTTCTTGAATATGGAGATGGAGGTTTAAATTGATACACATTGAAAGTTTTATGAAATACCTGAAACTTAAGTGGGTGAAAAGGCTATATGATGGAAATGGGGACTGGCAAAGTTTAGCAAAATATAATTTTAGTAAATTTGGAGGGGAGAGATTATGGAATCTGAAAAAATCAAACCTGGAGGAAATATCGAAAAATATAACTATTGTTTTCTGGAAAGGTGTTATTTTAGCATAGAAAAATATAAAGATGATAATTATGAAGTATCAAGTTTTCTTGGTGATGATCTTTGAATTACATACCAGTTCCTAGTTTCAAACAATTTATTGAATATGAAAGGAATGGGGTGAAGACAGTTAAGGACTTGTTGGACACTAATTATCAGTTTTTGTCATTCAATGATATTAAGACTAAATGTGAGAAAATGATTTTTTTACAATATTTTGCATTTATAGACCACATTCCAACAGAAAAGTTAAACATAATACGACAACAACCATTGATCAACAAATAATCAGGAAACTGTATTTTTTTAAGAAGACTTCTTCAAGCAAAAAAGACGATTGTTGCTAACTACATTTTTACAAACATTATCCAGTTGAAAGGCAGGAAAAAATGAATAAAAAGTTAAAGACAAATTTAAATGATGACATAGGTTGGAAGACAACTTATTGAACAAGCTTTCTGGTGACAATTGCCACAAAACTGCAAAATCTACAATTTTAGATTCTTCATAGAATATTAACAACAAACAGTTTTCTTTACCAAATCAATATTAAGGATGAGGATCTTTGTACTTTTTGTAGAGATGCACCAGAATCAATTGGACACTTATTTTTTAACCGTGTGAAAATAAATAATATATGGAATGATTTAATAGCTTGGGCGAATGACTTGAATAACAATATTATCATTATTGATCAGATGAATATCAAGGATGTGGTATTTTTTTGTGAAAAGGGTCCACCTATCATAAACTCATACTGATTATTAAATATAATATCTATACATGTCGATTCAAATATATCGAACCGTCTTTCAATGGTGGAAAAAAGACGAATTATTCAACAACAACAGATTGAAAAAAAAATGTCTTCTTTGAATAACACAATGAACAAGTTAACCAAAAGTGGTATCCCCTTAATATTTGAGAATAAAGCTTTTTAATATCAATTGCATATCTGGGTAAACTTACAGCCCTTAAAGAATTAATTAAAACATGAAGGAAGATCTTTGGTATTTAAGTAAATAACAGGCGTACATGTATGTATTATATTTGTCTTGTGTATGTGTTATGTTGATAAGTATGTTTATTGTTTTATTCGTATGTGTAGACTTAAATGGCATGGTAAATGTATAAGTATTTATTGTAATGGAAATGATGGATGTATCCACATATTGATGTCTTAAAATTAAGAATGCTTGCTATGTCTATATGCTGTCAGGCATGCAAAGATGTATGTGTATGGGTACGAGTGTATGTGTGTACAATTATGTGGGGTATATAATTATGTATGACTCAAGTAATATGTTTGTCATTTCGAGTGTGTGTATGATGTATTTATGAATACATAATTTGTAGTTAAATTTCACATAATTGTACACTGTTTATGTTTTCGTATTTATGCATATAGGTATAAATTGGTACATGTAGGTACATTAGTATTTGTACTTTTTTTTTATTTCTCCAGACATTCCTTCTTCAGTTAATCAAAATTACACATGAACAACAACATCATTCAAAGTACATGAATTCGGTTTTATCTTGTCTAAATTTTCGGACAATATGGCAATCCCAAATCAATAAAGCAGAATTTTTGACACGTAAATGAATTTATATATAAAAATACTTTCAATATTTGAATATATAAAGAAGGAATGGTTGATGTAATTTAACATATCAATTTCATCAAAATAAATATTATCGTTATTGTAACCTAGGGGTAAACTTTGACAGCTCTCTGAACATGGAGAAACATGAAGTGAACGCTATATTGCCAAATCCTGTTACTACCAGATCAGAAACATCGGCTGTATTCTATAAATGTTGTATATTATTATTATTATTATTAATGAATGAAATATACGTATGAAAAAATGAATGATTCGGAGTTTGAAAGATGAAATGAAAAAGAAATAGAGAATGAAGAGAAAGAGGCCTTCTGCGTGAGGCTATATTATGTAAGAGGGATGATCCCGGGGCACCCCAACCCTGTAATCCCTCCGTAAGAAGCTGGGGGAATAAAATACAATTTGAACCTAAAAAAAAAAAAAAAAAAAGCATCTGTAGGTTAATCAATAACTATAAACCAATTAATTTTCTAATATTTCTATAAAAACAGCGACATCTTACTTGTAAAAGAATTTTCGATAAAATAATGTTCGACATCTGAGTTTTTTAAAGAGAACTCAGAAAGCTGCAAAACATACAACATAACAGTACCGATAACACATAAAACACAGTGGTGTATACAATAAATGAAATAGACATGTCGTAACGTGTGTTGTGAGTCATGTGTTGTCTTTGATTATAGTTACAAATAATTAGATTGTCTTGCCGTAATGAACCTTACGCATCGCAACGCCCGCACAGCTAGAACTTCTGAAATGTTAATCCCGGAAATATTAGGATTAGTGTTCCAAAGTTTTATGAAATGTAAATGAATATTAACCCAATCCGAAAAAATATAGATAGCATTTATTAGAATATATACCAAAAGGAACCCGGAAAGAATATGAATTCGACCCTATTGTCTTCCGCTCTTGTGAATACCAGATTTACTCCATTAGTTTATTAATAACTCAAATTAACAAACAAGTTCTACTGTGCCAATGTGAGCAAGTCAATATGTTTGAAGAATCTGAAGTGAGGTTGATTCCAAATCTAGCAGTAAACATATGACTATACAATACATTGTAAGTATAGTCATTGTTATAGGCATCACAATGTTTTGACTCTCTATGCACGATTGAGTTGACAATGATATTACCTTCATTATAACCTGGGTTAAGAAAATCTCAAATACTTAAAGAAAATATTCTGACACTTCGTAGAAAGAAAAAAATATTAATTCAGAATCAACGTAATGTTTTTAACCAAATACACACAAAGTGATTAAGCAAACAGATGTCAGATTTTCCATGAGCTAGATCACTTACATTTAACATTGTTGTCACTGATAAGACAGTGATATGAGATGAACAGCAAATCGAAACACAACTGCACCTGGTATACAATGTATATTGCGCTTTCAATTCTTTGATGCCGTAATGATCACCATGACTAAAAATGTATACAGTAGATGCTAACGTGTACACACAAAATAGATTAAACAAAAACTATAAATAGCAATATTCATAATCCATCGAACTCGAATTTCAGACGAATGCGCAGCTGGATATTATAAAGTAAGTGGAACTTGCAGTCAATGTCCGGTTAATTGCGCGGAAACTCAATGTGACAGTACAAATGGAGCTTGTTCAGGTAAGATAAATTATCTAGGTGTTTTTACCCTAAGATAGTGGAGTTTGGTTATAAAGGAATGTTATGTTTGCTAAGAAAGTTATATTTTAATGATTGTTATAATCTAATCTTATTGGCAAATACTTTGCATTATTATAACAATTGGTTATGTAAAGTAATAACAGAAACAATACATGTAATGATAACTTCTCCTTTGTAACGTCACGTATCTTTAGCATTACAGCGGCCGTATCATTTAGAGTCCCAAAAGGTGGAGTCCCTGAAAACTAAAGTTATTGTTTAAATGCATAATTGATTAGCATTTTGCGCTCTTATACGTTAACGGTATCTGCACAATAATTGTCAATGACCGTATTCTGATGAAACTTGGTAAATATTTATATTTAACAAAGGTTAAGCTTAAAGGTGAGTAAAACATCTGAACATTATTTATTAGCATACTGCTAATTGATTGGTCGACAGTTTCCACACAATAGCTAATGTAAACAATTGGCAATATTGTGGCGACACTTGAGTACTATTTACACTTTGCCAAATAGCAAAATATGCCCATAATTGATAATCTTTAAAGATATTTTTTGTTTAATCGTGTATGGTGAATCGGTTAGTTGTAACCTTTTTATTTACAGGATTTGAAATATGTACAAAAAATAATCCTTTTTTAACGTCATTTTAAAGCTATTAAACATATATATATATATGCCTTCAGCTTCAGTTTTTCAAGAACGTTATGTTTCCTCCTTTCATCACAAGCCAGGAATAGTTCTTATATCTGCTGAGTAACACATTACACCTGTTGTTTTCACTCCTTTCAAGTCCATATTTCCATACGTACAGATGAAATAATGCACCAAAAGAATACCATGCTGTCTCATAAATTTAGGACATCGTGGGGCAGGCATTTTGGATCAAAATTTGAAAAAGATCGAGATCACAATGCATCTATATCTATATGACTATGCATAAAGTCTTTTTAATCATTAAAACGTCATCAATAGATAAATCATCTTTTACGTTACCCAATAATATACTGTTACTATGCACATGAAACCGCTGTTGAAAATGTAACGCCTTTTATTATCGACATTCATCAAGTTTTAAATGTTTGTATTGCCCCTTGGCCTTATTTTCGTAAAGGAGAACATCAATTCGCATTCATGTTCGGGTATACACAAACTAAGGATTGCTCTTTTGGTAATAATTTGAAAGGTCTGGGAACCATTTTTCTTGAAGTGGGATTTGTTTATATTCATTGATTCACAACTAAGTTAGTATACTCTTTTTCATGTAGCCAATAGCAATCTCGATATAGACCGTGATCCATCTGTTATACATACAGTATATTTTTCTGTACAACCTTTAACAATGAATGTTTGTGTAAGTAACAAGGATGATGTTATGTTACGATAGCATCATAGAAGGTGTTGTACTAGTTGCAATATACCTTTGCATTTATCTTAGTGCCCCAGTGGTCTTGAAGGAACATCAGTGGTTTAGTTATATAAAAAATATGTTCGACAGGAACACAATCAATTCTATTTTGATTGAACACCTTTCATATGCAACCATCGTTAGGTGTACATTTCAGACGGCTGCTCACCCGGATTTTTAGGCCTATTCTGTAGATGTCCAGCGAACTGTAGGGACACTAGCTGCCCTACCAGCCAATGTACCGGTAATTATATTTATATAACCACGTTACATCCATGTACTATTAAAAAACATGGAGCACTATTTCAAATCGTAATGGTTCAATGATTCCTTTAATCTACAAGCTTACTGTAAAGAATGCGACGAGTTGAAATAATAAAATTGTTTAGAGCAAATTAAATTTTGATCATGAGTATTGCAATCCATTCACACTTCTTTAGCAGTGATAAAAAAGATACAAAAAATAGTATCACACTATAACAAACGGAGTGCTGGAGGTGTCTTTATATATGTTTACATCAAGTATCGTCTATATAATCAAAATTTAGATGTTCATTTATACAATATTTCTTATTTCAGACTGTAATGATGGATACTATGGACCAGCCTGTACACCATGTCCTGTTGGCTGTAGCAGTGGCACATGCGACAAAACGTCCGGACATTGTAACCGTTAGTATTATGCATTATGGACTTTTCAGGAAACATCTTGCAAATGTTATAATGATCGAATCTTCTCCAGCAATGCGCATTCACATTTATTTAGGGGTGGATATTTAAAAACAGATCGATATCAATAAATCAAATTCAGCTAGTTTATGTTATTATGAAATTGAACAAACATGATAACCAATGTCAGTATGTCAGTATGTCAGTGATATTATGTTGTGATTACACGGAATAACAGATGCTATGATGTTTCAACGGAGTAACAGGTTTGTCGAAATGTTACTTGTCTACAGTTAATTGACCAAGGGGAGAAAGTCATATAACGATAGAAATTCGTTAATTCTTACAATGCAATACACAACTCGGTGTTGACTACAGCTTTATCAACGACAATCTGCTTGGTCGATTCAGTGAGGTATGCTTGTTGGATAATATACCAATATAGCTCATCTTTCATAATGACAATAGGCGCTATTAAAAATTGGAGATGAAGAATTTGATGATATTGTTTTATTTTTATTTTAAGTATGCAATGTTGGATTTTACGGTAGTTTCTGTAACCAGTCATGCCCCGCTTACTGCAAAAACAGCGTTTGTAACAAGGACAGCGGTCAGTGTACAGGTAAGCCAATTTACCTACCGATGATACCTTTACTCTACTGTGGTTTGTGCTGAAACTACACACCTTAGATTGACTATTACAGTCTTTTACCTATAACTCAGCAAACAAGTCGAGGGCTAAAATTCTGTAACATAATTCCAACAGACATGCAAGCCAAGTTTGGGATGCCACATAATCTTCAACAGAATCTCGAAACTAAAAACAATATTTTCTCAACCTTGTTATTCTTGTTCCTTTCAAATCAATAGCTCGATTTTCTACGTCATACGTGGTTCCTGATTATATGGCTTTTGCACTACAGCAACGTTTGGATGTGTCGTTTTAAACAATGTAGTCTCTACTAGTGTGACGCACTATATTTATTCCACTGCTCAAATACAACACTTACAGACGCAAATTACATGTTTAACATCTGTTCTGCTCTTTAATCCTTTATTATTATCTACTAATGCAAAATTTCCTGAATATACCTAAAATCATACATTGATTTAATATTTGATTCAATAATGCGTAAGGAATGAACAGTCTATTAAAGTTTATCAATTTTTTACGTGCAATAACTTCTAATTGTCGCCGTAAGATTAAAGCGGACTACTAGAATAATGCAAGGAAAACTTTATTTTCTTTAGAAATCCCTCTTTTACTTATTTAAGTTATAAAATGTAACAAAGTTGATAATGGTTGTTTCTTCAGTATCAGTATTTATTTTGTTTACTAAATAATAACTATTTGTTATGTATTTCTATATTTGTATGGGACACATATAATTCCCTACATGGTACTACCTTTACCTCTAATATGTAATGCTTTGGAATTAAGAAAACTGTCAAAGATCATATATCCCCACAATGACCCCCACTTTCATCTCATGTATATCCCATACAACCCATATTTATAACTTGAAAAAATAACCCCTTCAAAATATCAAAGCAATTGTAAACTGAATACTTCATGAGATATGTTATAAGATGCCTATGCAAACGTCAGTCGAATAAACTCATCTCTGTTTTCTTTAACTTTACCCATTTTTTTTCTTCTTTCTATATTCTTATTATCAACAAATCACGTTTTCTCACCCGTTTTTCTGTTGAAATTGGTTTGATAATGAAGGGACAAAAATAGGAAAATGAAGGTTATAAACTACGCTACTGTATGATATATGCTGTCATTATGTGTGTTCCACATGCACAATGAATATGTTTGTCTTTCGTAAGAAGATATGAGAGAAATAATTTGGATGAATATTTGTATATCGTCGTTATATTTCAGACTGTGAGGATGGATACTTTGGACCGTTTTGTGATGCCTGCACTACTGGTTGCATGGATCTTGTCTGTGAAAAAATATCCGGAAATTGTAGTAGTAAGATTTGATGAAATCCATATCTTCCAATCTGCCTTCTTCAGGTTGATAAAAAAACTAAATTGCAATAAAACGATGTGAAAGAAATGTTCATATGTTTTTATGTTTAACAGTATGGTATTCTTTTTAGATTGTAATCCTGGAATTCGTGGTTCTATGCTTGACAACATCTGCTATCTCGTTTGTACAAAAAGCATAAATGCATAGATGTATATTAGAAGGCATCATGTGTTATAGAGCCACCCGAGTTTATACAAATTCTGTCAAATACATCAAGTGCATTTAGAGCAAATATATGTTAACGTCATTTTTTAACAAAATATATATATATATACACAAAATAAGCTCCATGATTCCTTTTATTATTGACACCTTTTCATTAATTGTGACGCTTGCCATATGTAGGGTATAGGGTATGCAAACAATTGACTCGATGCGGCATAATTTTAATCAGCATATAAACTGATCGAGCAATATATATTAGCGACATGTGTGCTATCTTAGGGAATTTGACAAAAGTTGTCAGACCAAAATATGTCATATACAGTTAAAAAAAACCGTGAGTAGATATATCCTGATTTATTAAGTGTAACATTTGTCAATATAATAACTTTCAGAGTGCATCGATGGATACCATGGTAGTACCTGCGATCAGACGTGCTCTACCAATTGCAATAACAACTTATGTATCAAAGACAACGGATTTTGTACAGGTAAGACATGTTCATATTGATGAAATATGGTAACTTTTTGCACTTTTTCTAGTTCTTCAATGTATGCTACACATTATAACAATGACTGTAACATTGTCAATAATACAGTTGTACTGTCATGTACAGTAATAGTAAATGTGCGTAGTAAATTGCACGGAGATGATTGCCGATTAGAGTCCATCGATTCGACAGTTTGGCGTGTACAGTTAATACTTACAATATGTACATGTATATGAAAGTAACTCTACACACTTGTCGGTCCAGATCGATTCAGAACTATTTTCGTACGTGACATGTCTATTACTGTTAGATAAAAAGTAGATACATGTATGCACCACTGCATGAATATGCGACAACATACTTCAATCAAGAAAAATAAAAGTTCCTTAAAACATATCAAACCCGTTACCTGTTGTTGTGCTCACGCTATTATCGCACCGTTTTTATCGTGTGCAAATGGTGTACACACCGTTCACACTCCATACGCACATCATGTAACGTTAATCGATCCAACAACTGTACTATTATGCAATTAATATTGCCACTATCAGTTGATTATGCATATAAAACATTACGATTTAATACGTGAATGAAATGCAAACTTTGTGTTACTGCCTTTTTCCAATATCTGATAGGGATTGATTTTGTCAATAAGACATGAAAGGAAACAGAGGTGTGTACTTTGGGGATTTATAAAACGTCAATATGTTTTCTCATAATGCGATTGACATAACGAATTATTTCAATTATTAAATCAGATATATTTCTGTTCATCTAGCATACCATTACATCTTGTTTAGCTAAAATTGTTTATGTATTTCAATGCTTATTAACTAGTAAGCCAGCTTATGTTTACCATATCAACCCTTATTTTATCATTTTAGAATGTGTTCCCGGGTTATATGGAAGCACCTGTGACCAGACGTGTTCCGATAACTGTAAAGACAACTTGTGTATCCAAGGCAACGGGTTATGTACACGTATGCTAAGATTATGTTTCTTTATGTTCAAGATACAAGTTTAAAATGTAGTTTGTACAAATATTTGGTGAAAGGGAAATTTTAGAGGAACGGAAAAGAATTATAAATTTGATTGGAATATTTGTGCATCAGACCTAAATGAAAATAACCAAAGTTAGCTTTATTGAAACCTATAAAAGAACTGTGACTTTGTCCGTGATACGACTCGATCACAAAATGATGTTAAATATATACCACTTGGCTAAATATTACAGGATGTAAACAGGGATTTCACGGAGGCACGTGTCAACACATGTGTCCCATTACTTGTAAGGACAACACATGCAATCAGCTCAGTGGACAATGTGAAGGTATTGTACATAACTAACAAGTCACAGATTTAGATTAATTTGAAAAGAGACACAACAGTTACCTGATTTTTGTTCACATTTATATTCGTTGGTGGTGGTTTGTCCTTGAATACAAAAATGAATCACAAACATATCTTCAAATTGATCTACGACAGTAACGATGGTTTAATTCTTTGATACTTTTTTTTGCGATCGTTAACTTCTGAAGTTACTAGCAGTAATAAAAAGTAACAGCCCGACCTTCTATACATATATAGCTCACAGCTGACTATGCAAGAGTATGACCAATGCATACGTGTTTGGTGGATTGACGCACCTATTTGACCTTTAAGCTACTTAGGCAGTCTCTTTAACGCGAAGGCAGTTAACAGACAAAACAAAACTCAAACAAACAAACTCCGTTTGTATTATGTGATAGTAGAAACATAACAAATGAGATATAAAAAAGGAAAAAAATAATCTCGGCCATTTCAAACTCAATGGGTTCAAATAGAATATTATTTGAATATCAACTTTCAGAGAAACATGGGAACCATTGTATCTGTTGGTTTTGCAAGCGGCATTGTTTAAGAGTTGGTTGGATAAAATCAAATATCACATCCACACAAGTAACACCAATTTTTTTTAATAAGCATCCGCTAAAATTCCATTTGCTTGATGTTTATTTGCTCTCAAATTGAGGTCATGTTTTTATTTTGTTCCAAAAAAACAACAATAGTTTTAAGTGTGGTATACTATTTCAGTGTCAGATCAGAACCCCGTAGGTTTAACATAACACCACCTGATCCTGACGGAGAGCGTCATTCTACGAGTTAGGAACTGTTGATGATGTTGTAAAAAAACGAGTTTGATGAGTAACATCATGAATATTTTCAAGAAATGATTCCTTCCTCAAATCCCGGTTCAGCCTTCAATACATATTTTCAATTCATGATGTGTAACACCCCTTTTGCATTTAAAACACATGCTATAAAACTAGACATGAGTATATTTATTAATTACATTTTTCTTTGTTTAAGAATGCGCTGTCGGATATCATGGCATTAAGTGTGATGAGAATTGCCCGTCCAACTGCAAGGATAAATTTTGTAACCAGATTAATGGTCGGTGTATAGGTATGTACCGTGAGACTGATCTAACATGTACAGGTATATATCTAAAAAATTAGCTTATATGTACAGGTACAGTGTATATACTTGAAATATGATCATATAATCTGATTTTAAATGTGCAAGTATGTACTGTGTGACTCACAACTGATCTGATATGTACAGTTTTATACTTGGAACAGATCTTATACGTACAGGTGTATACTTGATATCTGATATTACATGTACAGGTACGTACATAAAAGCTTATCGTATATGTTCTGGTATGTACTTTAAAACTGATTTTATATGCACATGTAAGTACTAACGTTAGTACAGGCAAATTCGCCATGCACCCAAATTCGCCACCCTGTGACGAAAATGCCATATGACGTCATAATACATAAAATGTGACGTAAATAACGTCACCATAGTTTTCAACACAGTTAAAGCCTTCAAATATTTTGACAAGAAGAGATATAAGAAGGGAAAAGCTAAAAGGGGGGCGATCGTTGAAAGCCCTGGACCCTCTCATCCTGACCCGAAGGAAAATATAATATTGGGCAGTGATTTGGAAGTTTATATTTGTTAAGGCCAGAGTCTTTTTTGCGTATCATGTAAATTGATATCATCTCAGCCGATACCCGTAATCTTTCTCAAACAACATTAATCAGTTTCTTCAAGTTACCGAAAACTAACTATCACAACTAAGAAAAGCCATGTATTTCAATGTTAATCATTGTTACACAGACACATTTGGAGCTGTTCGTATCAGTACAGCTTGTGTAACATAAACATATTTTTTTTTACATTTAAACACTTAGATTACTTGCAAATTAGTTAAATGTTTGAAGGTGGTGAAACTGCCTGCACATTTGAGCAAAACGACGGAAGGCCTGATGACGTCACAAATGTTGCTGCGTGACGTCATTCAGCCGTGTTTACAACACTTTTTATTTATAGGCATTTCAGTCGAATCTTCTTCTGTATTGGTGCTCGTCGGCATTTTGATGCATGCCTATTTGGTCGAACTATTAACAGAAACCCTATCTAATGTGACGAATTTGCCTTCACTGACGTCAGAAGCAAATCTTACACAATGCAAGTATTGTTGATAAGGTGCATTGTAACTGATATGTTATGTACAATATGTACTGTGAAACGAAACTGATCCTACATGTTCACGTAAGTGTTGGGAAACTAGTCTTACGTGTATAAGTACATGCACTAGGCTATTGATCTTTCATGTACAGTGGTGTACTGAAAAGTTAACGGGTATATAACGGTATATATAGGGAAACTGTATTCTTTTACTTTTTTAGGCAGGGAATATTAAAAAATAGTCCATAACTTGTTTTTAACTTTCAGGATGTGCAGCAGAATACCATGGAAACAATTGTTCTTTGAGTTGCCCGGACAATTGCAAGAATCACATTTGCATGCAAGAGAATGGTCAATGCATAGGTATTTCGTGGAAGTCGTTCATCTTAATTTTACTCATAAAGTCCATATTTGACATACTAAATTAGTAGCAATGTAAATGTATAAGTACTTAAAGTAACATATAAACTTTTTTGACACGAATTTTCATTTCATCTAACCAATATGTGGGGCGAGTTTCATTTACATAAAGACCATATGTAATGGAATAGAATGTAATATTTTGCTGATTACAAAACCAACATTTGTAGCAATTTGTCGTGAAACATGTTCTCTTATTGACGTAGAATATAAACATTTTAAATCAGTATGCCGCTTTGTAAGCTACAACGTATTTTCAATATTTTGATGCTACGAGATTGTGAGGTCATAATTGAAAAAGTGCCATACGTCAGTCAATCATATCTCTCCACTACGTCTTATTTACTGTGCGTTCAAAACATATTTAAGGTAGTGACTTTTCGACACTTGAAATGGGGTAGTTTTGTGACAATATTCATTATTGCATGTATACATTGATAGCGATCGTGTTTTGTATATATACAACACAACAAACACACAACATTGAATTAACCTGCCTGAAAATGTGCTGATTCGCTGTGTGCTGTAACTACCGAACCGCCTTATCTGTTTTTACGTGTAGAGTCCAAATTATTAAAATATATCATTATATGATCACGGATCTTGATGAAATTTCCTATGTGGTTTAAATCTGACTATGTGTGTGTCAAAATGATATGAGTTGTTTTATTTTATATTTGATATAACTTGAATTACAAGTAGCAATTATAACGAAATCATAATGCACTGAAACGGTTTACGCAAATGTTTGCATTGATGAACAACGCAGACTACTAACACATTTGTACAGTTAGAATATAAGCACATTTCTGTAGAGGAAGTGACACATTCGCATTGTCTTTTCACCAGTAATTCATGAATCAGTAACTATTGATCACTTTGTCTGTAGAGTGTGTCTCTGGTTTCCATGGTAGCAAATGTGTAGACAGATGTGGCTACTGTCAAGATGGGAGATGTGACAAAAACACCGGGAATTGTATGTCATCATGTATAGATGGGCTGACAGGGGATAGGTGTGACGTCAAAGGTATTTATTGATTCCTTTATCCTTAAAATATACTCCGTCATTATGTTGTAAAAAATTAGTTCATAATGAACTTCTTCAATATTGCTGTTGTTTTCATTTCATTTTTTTTCCTCCATTTATTTACTTTTATGTGTATTATATGCGTTAAATGTATGCATCTAATGAACTTAACGGTGTACTTACGATGTTTATACAGTACAGGAATAAATACATTACATATCCTATGACTGTTAGTATTACATTATGAAATAATAGTAAATACTAGATGAGAAACTGGCAGAAAGTCGGTTTATTTGTAACCAATATCTTTATTTATATAGATGATGTTATGGAACATTCAATATGCATGCAAAAAACCCTTTATTGGAGCAACTAAAATATGGTTACGAATATTGCAGAAATGATGTTGATATGGTGTTCATACATGGTTGTATCGTCCAGCATTTAAAGTTTGTTTGTCTAATAAAATAAGCGTTAATCACCAAGAAAAAAAAGACATCATATATTTCATATACAGGATGCAGAACATAATTTGATAATTTCGAACATGAAATGTAACAAACGTTTCACAATTACAAAATAAAAATGAATGTATACATATAACAAAACCTTGTAGTTGTAGTCGTCAATGTGCCTAGTAAGGGAGATGACTTCAAACCAGCAGCAATCGGGATAGGTAGTGGCTGTGGAGTTGTTATCGTTGCTCTGGTCATCGTGATAATTGTACAGGCAAGAAGACGACACTCGGAACGTCAGCAGGACCCAACGAGGTCTACCACTATGGCAGATATATCTCTACCAAGTATTCGACAAGAGCTACAGGCAGAAACAGGTTTTGCATAAATACGTCTATTTTATTTCAAACACTTATAAATACATAGCGTCACCTGTAAGTAGACATCTCGATTAACAATATACGAGTAATTTTTCGTTGTTGCTAAATGCAAATTTATAAAAAGTGCACCGGGTATTGGATCAGGTAGCCTTCCATATCAAACGTTTTAGACTTAATGACTACATGCGTACATCGCAGCATTCCAATAATTTAAGAATTGTCATCTTTGTAATTGCTGATTGGTAGTTTAAGCGATTATTCAGTTGGGTGTAATTTCCTCTGATGTTCTTTTCCAGACGGTACTTACAACATTATAGATGCCCAGAAGAGAGACGAGAGCACAACGAATGAATATCCGACTGATGACAAGTATGAGCGTCTTGGACGAAGGGAAAGGGAAGTTCCACACATATACGAGACTTAGTGATTGCGTACGTACATATACGATCGCAATAATGTATCAACATCGACATCGGACAACAGTAATATTGTTTAAAATGTGCAGTTACATTTAACTTTCATCTGGCTCGTTGTGAAGGTGTCAGCTGGATTTTCCTCTGCTACTTTTGATGATCTCGGATAGTCTTTTTGTGATAGCTTTCATAACAGCAAGACACAGAAATGTATTCAATGTGGAGTTTTGAATCGTAGATGTTTCTAATTAATGTTGCCATGAAGTCTACGATATTATATAATATGTATTAAATTGTTATTTTAACTAATTTCTCATGCTTCGTGCAATGAAGCACAATATCAACTTCTAACACCTTTCGGGAAAGCATTAAATGGTTGTACAAAATACCCTTTTATATATTCTCACCCGATCAGAGTCACACCAAACATGTACACGAAAACGTTTCCCAGAAAATAATCAAATACACTTGCATTTCGTGAATTTTGGCATTTTTGCTTACATATGTACATGCAAACGACTGACTGTACATAGATAGCAGGTCAAAACTGAGAGTTTGAAGTGTAATATTAATGAAAATATACATGTTGTTACCACACATGTACATGTGATTTGTTTTCGATCTCACCAACGTAAAAAAATGTAGTTCCAAATGAAATACTGCACTTTCTTAAACAGTTTATATCGAGTGAAGTAAAATGAATTAATTAGCTTTATATATGCACTTATAGTCACATGAATCCCCTTTATATATTTGTATATACCTTATTCATAACTGTATTGAGAATCATTATTTTGATTTATAGGTATGCATATTGACGACGTCATACATTATGACTTGTGTGACGACGTCAATATGCATTTGTCTTAATCATTTTGTTTTCAGCATTGTTTAAAAATCCCCTATTCTTTTAATAAGCAATTAAGGAAAAAGGTTTTAAGCTGTTTTTTCATGTGCGTTCATATTAGCACAGCTTTTGTTTATATTTTGCTTGAACTAAATACGCGACTGATACATTAATTATAAAAATCATCGTACATGTGATGTATTTCAGAATGCACTTGTTTCTTAATGTTCTTTTTCCACGATGTGAATAACTCAAATAAAGAGAGTTGCGCTACTTCATTTGCATATAAAAAATCTACACCAAATATTTGTTTTATGTTATTGTGACAAAGATCTGCTTAATACGTGTTATGTTTCTTAATCTGAATTAATCCTTTTGTAATATTGTAGTCTACATATCATATAAAGGAAATATACAGTATACTAAGTCCACCTTTTATTTTGTATCTGATGAAAGCGGTCTACGTCTTTAGGTCCCCATGTTTACGCCATTTGTATTATATTTCTCCAGAGGCTTTTTTTGTAATTATTATTGTATTGTGATGTTAAATAGTAATATAAGCTCGGCCTGTTTATTATAGATAAGATGAGCGAGCGAACAAATCTGTGAGCTATAAGAAATGGACAATATCCTAGAATGACTCGATTTACTGTATCAGCTTTAGTTAATTTAAGTAATTTTAATCCATACAGCGCACTTGTCTCCTAAACAATTTCTAAGACACATGTGAACCCATCTCCTTTCCGCTCGATCAAAAGCATATCGTTGTTAAGAAAGTCATCCTCCAGCATTTTCTAGATTAAATTATTTTATAATATCACGATTCAAAATGGATGTTTCCTTCAATATTTCTTCCTTTCATAAAACCCTCTTTGGTCGGAATGGATTAAAATTATCATTAGTATGTTGGCTGATTGAAAGCCAGTTTTATTATCCGCATGCTCTCCTTCTTTATACATTAGAATTATAATGTTTGTATTTTTGCTATATATGTAAGATCATTTCTGATCAGATACAAAAACTTTACCTCGCTATTACCTGGTTCTTTATTAAGATTTTCTATAGCTGTTACGAATTACCTGACGTTATTTTCAATACCTTCAGTTCATCTATATTTCCACACTGTTCTCTTTATAAGGAATAGGAATCAGTTTGTTTTTCGGGTTTTATAAATCCTCGCAACCACGTTTAAGTCATATGTATAAGAAAGGTCTGCCAAATATCTGATTCTTTGGCAACTTTACTACAAATATATAGTAGGAATTGAGCTTTCTATATCCACTGCACTATACTTCATATTATTTGTTGACATTTTTCTGCTACAATACATGAAGTTCCCTCAAAAGATGCTGATAACCGAAAAGAGTCTAAAACCTTAATCATATCTTTTAGAATACTGTGTTTAAAAAAGTCAAAAGTTGAAGTAGTCAACATTATTTGACTTTGGTGTAGAAGCATCCTAAAAANGAACAGACCAAAATATATCTTCTGTCCCCATTGCAACACACTTGGGATCTTAAATCTTTCCTTTCTTTCTTCAACGTTCTGCCTTTCTTTGTCGTAACGCCTGAGAACACTTAATGATCATTCTGTCCGTCATCACACGTTGGCGGCGGCGGCGGCGGCGGCGGCGGCGGCGGCGGCGGTAGTCACATTTAAGTTTTCCAGACTTTTTTTCGCCACCATTTACCAAATCAATTTGTAATTATGTATGTGGCTTAATCATAATAGATTACAGATCAAATTCGAACCACGTGCCAATTTTTATTTTTTTTGCTGGAGTTACATGTATGGCCCTTTGCACATTGGAAGCTCATAATTAACTATTTGCCATACTTCTTTTCGTTACCGCTTGCCGCTTAGTATGTGGCTTTATCATAATGGATTACAGTTAGAGTCCAAACCCTATGTCAATATTTCATTTGTTGCTGGAGTTATGGCCCTTTGCACATAAGAAATCTCATAATTAATTGTTTTCCCGATTTTTTTTTCGCTACCACTTGCAACATCAATTTGTTACCCAATATGTGTCTTTGTCATAATGGATTAGAGTTTGAGTTCAAACCCCGTGTTAATATTCCTTTCTTTGCTGGAGTTATGGCCCTTTGCATATAGGAAATTATCAAAATTAACTTTTGTTTTACTTATTTCGCTACCGCTTGCCTAATCAATTTGAAACTTTGTTTGTGGCTTTATCATAATAGATTACATAGTTAGAATCCATTGTCAATATTCTATTTTTTCTGGAGTTATAGCCCTTTGCACATAGGAAATTCTTATTAGTAACTGTATTTTTTCCGGCAACACATCCACTTCCTTCGAATTGTAGTTTTCTTCTATAGGTGTCTCCTTGACACCCGTCATCATATGACCCTGGCTGTTGCGAGGACATAAATCACATAATAAAGTACATCCTTTGAAGTCCTTCTGTATGGCTTGATGATGTTTTCAAACCAATGGTCTGGAGCATTTTATGCCGTTTGACAGAGGGTCTCTCTCATAATACTAGGGAGAGGAGTGGATTCCCAAAGGGGGATTCTTCAATTCAATTACACAATTTGTTGTTAGGACCCCTGCACATCTTTAGTTATCAGGTTTTCCGTCTGTCTCTCATTCTGTCTGTTTTTAGCTTACCTGTCAAGGACAAGTGAGCTTTTGCCCTGGTGCGGCGTCCGTCGTCTGGTCATTGTCCGGCCCTCGGGCGTCAACTTTTCTCTTTAAACATCTTCTTCTCAATAACCTAAAGGCCCAGAGACCTGTTGTTGGGCCTGTAGCGTGCTGGGATGAAGGGCTGTCAAGTTTGTTCAAATGAGTGACCTAGCACGACTTTTCCAGGTCACAAGGGTTTAATGAGGTAACATGTTTGAACAACTTATTTTCAATAACCAACGGACCATGTAGCATGCTTGAATAAAGGACTACCAGGTTTGTTCAAATGAATTATCTTGCCGGCCTTTCAAGGTCACAGAGGTCAAATGTGCTAAAATCTTAAAACAACTTCTCAATAACTAAGAGGACCATGCTATTAAGCCTATAGCATGCCTGGATGAGAGGCTATGACATGTGTTCAAATGAATGACATTGACCGACTTTCAAGGTCACAGGGGTCAAATGTTATAACATCTTTGATCAACTTCTTCTAAATAACCAATAGGCCCAGAGAACTGATATTGGGCCTGTAGCATGCTGGGATGAAGGGCTACCAAGTGTGTTCAAATGAATGACCTTGATCTACATTCTAGGTCACACGGGTCAAATGTGCTATATTTGAATAAATTGGTAATGAGCCCAGCATCCACATAAATGACCTAGATCAGCTTTAAAGTTGCATTAGAAGCAAGTGAGCGACACACGCCCATTGGGCTTCTTGTTTAATTTCTGCACAATATCTTCAGTTATGTTGGTTGGATTGCTTTTAGACTGTATCCAGTGTTTATTTTTAAGAAAGTGCTTGCTTTGAATAAGTAACTGTTATAATGAATAGAAATTTAGTTTAGGCATAAGATATCCAATTCTGTTGGGATTTTTACACTCAGGCTTTATCAAGTGCTACCTCGGAGAAAGTGCCTGCTTTGGTGCTTTGGTGGTGAAAGGTTAAGGTCATTGCTACTTTAGAATGTATTTGCTTATGATACACATTGTAGCTTTTGAGGCATCGATTTCAAAGTTCAAGGTTAATGTTACAATAAATAGAAAAACATTTCATGCACAATATTTAACGCTCTTTTGGGCCGTATGCACTCAGTCTTTATCCAGTGTAATAAAACGTTTGCTTAAGCTTTTCATGTCCAGTGGTCAAAGGTTAATGGGTCACTATAAATAGAAAATCTGTTTAATGCACTAATGCACAAAATGTTGATTTACACTCTTGACTTTATCCAGTGCTTTCTCAAAGAAAGTGGAGCTCCTTAATGGTTATTGAAGATTAAAAAGAAACTGTCGTTTGGTATACATGTAGCAAACACTAGTGAAAACCAGTGTTTTCTTTTATAAAAGCACTGGATAAAGTCTTAAGTGTAATCAGCCCACCAGAACTCAAAATATAAGTAGTGCATTTTATAAACTGATAAATATTGTTGGGCTCCCAGGTAACAGAACAGGTAAATAATATTTTGAGTGACCAGTTATCAACCGACTCTTGCCCCAGTACGTGGTACATTCATGTTTTTTCAGAGTCAGAATAGATATTTTGTACGAAATCAGGGATATTGAAAGAAAAGCAGATATTTTCTACGTGTTGCGTTTGTTCTGAAATATGTGTTGAATATTTATATGTACTGTTTCAAATGTTTTTAAGACAATGACTACATACAATGTAACAAAACAAAACACTATATTATATGAAAATGTAAACATGTTTGTCAATATGTGTAGCTTACAACACTTCCGTTTCAAAATATCTAAAAAAAGACTTAATGTTATAAATTTGAATAGGATTATCTGTCGAAATATGTATATTTAAGACTTTTAAAAAAATAAATAAACATTAAGTTTACACAAAAGATATATTTTATAAATGAGAATATATACATAAAATGATAGAATCGGATGGAACGGCTGACGAAAAACAAAGAACATGGAAAATGTGTTAATAATGCAACTTGAACAAGATACGAAAGTAGAATATATATCACTCTTATTGATACGTAAATCATTTTTGTTTCTTTGAATTCAACTTATAGAGTCTAGGTTTGTTAAAAAAATAACAGTTTAGAAAAATAATTCCTGATAAGCCAGGGTTGCGTAGCGAAATCAAGAGATACTGTTTGTGTATAACTTGGTGTCAGCAAAAGAGCTGGTTTGTAGATATGATAATAGACACAAATGCATCCCACAATAAAGGTTATTTACATATATTACACACACATTGAAGGGGTGAATAATGGAATAATTACAAACGTTCAAAATAATTATTTCTTACCTAATTATAATAACGCATGGTGGCCATATTATATTATTACATTATATGTTAGTTAAAACCTATGAAACGTGCATCTTTTGTAAATACATTTATAATTTTGATAAATAATAAGTCGTTTAGAAATTATATTAATAAATAGAATTATATATACTTCACTCAGGCGAGTGACAGCTTAACCAGTTAGGCTTTTTTTCTGCTGTTCTTAATACTACAAGGTAATGTATGAAGTGTTACAAATCATATTACTAGTAGCTGAACATATCCTTCAAACATATACTATCTCTCAAATAATTGTTTGCAAATTCCTTTTTGAAAGCTTTATCATGTGATATCTGACAGGAGGATTTAGGTCAACATTCTTTAAAAATAATACACCAGTGTTTTGATCGATAAGTATACCACAGATAAATATAATTCAATTTTTGAGTTGACGTTTGAAGTCGATTTAAACACAGCTGTGTAGAATAAGAAGGTTGGATTTAAATAAACATTTTATGTTTTTCAGCATTGCAATCATCGCAGACGTACCTTAATGTACAATTATCTCACGCCCCTGCATATTGTTGAGAAAACACCTGCCTCTATCCACTGCATGTATCGTAAGAGGCGACTAATGTGCTTGTCCCTGCAGAATTTAGGATTACCAAAAATATCAGCTGCAGCCATTGCAATATTTGGGATCTGTATTTTTCTCTAACTGCTACTGCTACATTGTAACTACTTTTTATTTCAAAGCACATTGCTTGGCAACACCTTAGTTCTGGTTTTAATGTTGAACGTTCGCCCAGGTGATGTAGGTAATGGGTTCTATCCACAGGCCGGGGTAAACAAAAGTCCTTAAAAATTGGCAGTTGTTATTCCCTGTTTAACGTTCAGCATTTAAGGTAAAGGCAACAACTGGTTCACCTGTTTTCAGTATAATGTGACCGGACTGAATGTTATGTTGTTGACAGCGGCATGGTATTTTAGTGAAATAGCAACATTACCAGGACGCAATTACAACAACATGCCCTGCCGCCGGCATACATACACACATGCATACATACATACATGGAGGTACGTCCTTATATGACTTAAGTTGTTATTACGAAGTTAATGAAAATATATCACGATAATGTAATTGACGTAAGTTTGCGTTATTAGTCCCCAAACGGTTCACGAGGGGAACTAAAGGTTTGCCTTCCGTCCGTCCGTCCATTCGTCTGTCTTTCTGTTCATCCGATAAGTTTGTCCGGGGCATATCTTCCATATCATTTCATTTGGAGTAACCAGATTTGGTATACAAAGACATCTTGAGATGACAAAGTGCAATAAAAAAAGGTCACTATGACCTCACTGTGACCTATGCTTTGACCTTTGATCTTATCTTTTAAAACATTTGTCCGATGCATATCTTCTATACTATTTCACGTGTAGTTGCCAGATTTGATGTTTAAGGACATCTTAGGATGGCGGAGTCGGATTAGGTCACTGTGACCTATGACTAGACCTTTGACCATCACTTTTGAAAATATTTGTGCGCCACACATCTGCTCTACTATTTAACCTGGAGTACCAGATTTAGTGTTCAATGACATCTTGGGATAGCGGAGTGCAGAGTGCAAGAATAGATCTATGACTTTATCTTTGACCTTTATTTTTGAAAATGTTTGTCCAGTGCCTATTTTCTACAACATATCATCAAAAGTATCCATATTTGATGTACAAGGACATCTTTGGATGGCCGAGTGAAGAGTGCAAGAACAAAGACACCGTGACCTATAAGTATCCATATTTGGTGTACAAGGACATCTTGGGATGGCGGAATTTAGAATGCAAGAATAAGGTCACTGTGACCTATGACTTGACCTTTGACAATAACGTTGGAAAAATGTTGTCCGGGGCACATCTTTCCTACTATATCACCCGGAGTATCTAAATGTTGTTTACAAGGAAATCTTGGTATGTTGGAAGGCAGAATGCAAGAATTAGGTCACTGTATCAATGACTTGACCTTTGACAATGTCTTTTTAAAAATGTTTTCCAGTGCATGTCTTTCCTACTATATCAACTGGGGTATCCAAATTTTGTATACAAGGAAATCTTGGGATGTTGGAGTGCAAGAAGTAGGCCACTATGACATATGCTTCCTGACATAAATGTACTGTCCGTCTAATATAGAAATTATCACCGGTGGGGGACTATAAGTTGCATTGCAATACTTTGCATTGTTGTCCATATAGAACAATGATATAATATTACACAACAATGAATTGATAAAATGTGTCGTTAAAACACAGAAGAAAAAACATGTTATTCAGTTTCATTTCATGGGAAGACGTTCTTTTGGTTGATGTTATTATCCAAATGTGAGTATATTCAAACATTCAAATAAATCTTTCTAAATCAAGCTTTATATATTTTAGTAATGTGCCGGCTGTTGATTAAGTGTGAACGCAATTTTCATCATTAACAGATTTTTGTACTTATACTTATGATGGCATATTAATTGAGTAGTTTTACCAAGGGAGACATCTGTTATTCAAGTTTATATTCATACGACTTTACATGGGAAATATGTCAAATATACCATTGTGATTTAACACAGAAAGATAACCGCCTGCTATGCAAACAAGACTGTCATGTTCAAGATTTAAAAAGGACCTTCATATTCTGTTTATATACTCTAACACTGTTAAATGTGAATAAACGTGATATTTGTTAACATTACGCAATGCATTTGTTGAACACTATCACGTTTATGTTTATGTAGGCTTGCTATACAATATTTAAATGTATATTGACAAAGCAATAGAACGGAAACGTTGGGTTTACGATTTCAATTGATACATGTGTGAATACCGTTAACTAAAAATAGGTAGCAGTGTGAACTTCCTGGTTGATACGCCATGTTTTAGAGACAAGGCGTTTGGCGCTGTACAATACCAGACATGGAGTTTTACCTACTGGCCACTTGGTCATTACTGATAGCCTTTACGGTGGTTAACGCATCAGGTGAGAGTCATACTGGGATACATGTAGTCATGACAACATCTACAATCTGCTTCATCTAGATAAGAAATACCCTGTTACTATGTAAGAAACGGGCGATACTTCATGACAATGATAAAATGGACAATGATTGTATTTTTGAGCAACTGAGTCAAATGAGATTATTTCATTCATAATTCTTCACTATTAGGCAATTTGTTTGTATTTTAATGGATACTGCGTAGCCTTCAACAACGTCTATATTTGAATGGCTCAGTATAAAGCTCCGGTGCAGTAATGGGATTCGCACATATATGCTATAAATAGCATGGGGTGCTGGTTAGGTTAGATTTGTATCCATATCACTCAATAATTGAAGAACAGGACATGCCATTCCTCGTATCAATTCGTTTGTGCATTCGTATCGAGTGTTCCTACGCACCCAGAAATGTCCCCCTGTATAAAATATGACTTTATTTTGAAATGACTGTACAGTTTATATAGTGTGTAACCTGACTGTCCGTTACTTGACACCAACATACCATCACGTGTTTAAATGGTTCAGTTTAACGCTCCGATGCGGTTATGTAATGTAACGCATTTATACCACATAATGGGGTGCGTATAAGATCAGCGTGTTTTAAATATACATACAAAATACATGCTAATTCTCATATCAGTTCGTAAGTGCATTTGCACTGGGTGTTCCTACCCACCCGGAAAAGTGTACGTTTAGAGTATGATACTATTTTTGTCCGTTTCGGTACACCAACATACAATCGCGTGTTTATTAATGCACAACCGTTTTACATTAATCATAATAATCTAACATACATATAACAAAATGACAACGACTTGCTTATTTGATCCAGACTGCATATACAATTAAGTTACTGCTGTACATGTGCATATTAAAATTAAGCATATTAATCTATCTGGTATAGCTTGTAAAAAGAAAAAAGAAACGCATATCCTAACTTTCATATATATTTGCGTTTTTGAAATTTCAGTTCTGCATATTGATAATATGAGTATTGTCATTAAAGGTTATAAAATGCAGGACTAATAATCAGAGGCAGTTTTATGTAAAATATACATTTATTGTAATAGTTTTAGGGAACACGATTCGTTGTACTTGTACATGTAACAATTAACTTTATTTATTTACTGTCATAGGCTACAAACAAATGTCCGTCTTAAAAAAACATTTCAAATGAAAATTACTTCAATAAAATAGTATAACATGTACCAGCCAATGTAGGGCTTACACTTTCTTATGAATAATGTTGATCTTTTAAGAAAACACATACTTATTTTTTTAATACAGTACACAGTCGTTATAACAGTGTATTTACCTTGCAATATTTTAGGATGAATTAAGAAGTAATATTATTTATGGTCATCAATTGGTAATTGCAATTCGCTCATCAATGACATCGTGTTGATTTGATACAATACAAAGCGGAGCAGTACTTATCAACCGGATCGTTGCTGACTTCGAGATATGACATGACTTGATACCTGTATCTCTAGTTAACTGTATAATGAATTTCTTACTCCTTTCCACCTTAAATAACTGGGCTAATCACGATTATTTTTGCTAACATATGAATTTTGACTGGTCACGTAATAATGTGATGTTTACTTAACTTTGAATCTTGACTAGTCACATGCTGATCTTATGTGTACTATTTTCCGACCGTTGACTAATCACATGATGATCTAATGTGTACTACAGTCCGACTGTTGATTTGTCACATGATGATCTAATGTGTACTACCGTCCGACTGTTGACTGGTCACATGATGATCTAATGTTTACTACCGTCCGACTGTTGACTAGTCACATGATGATCTAATGTGTACTACCGTTCGACTGTTGACTGGTCACATGATGATCTAATGTTTACTACCGTCCGACTGTTGAAAGGTCACATATGATGATCTAATGTTTACTATTGTTCGACTGTTGACCGGTTAATTGCGATGCTATTGAATGCATCTTATTACCAGCCGTCCTGCTCGTCTAAGTTATTAACGATGAATCGTTTGCACGTTTAATTGAAAACCGTAATGGACACATTGGTAGAATAATGACGATAATAATTTAAAAACACAGCTCTTGTAACCCTGGTTGCTGTTGAAATTACAACTCTTTTACTACCACAGCCTTACATTGGTAGCTATTGTGTGCGTTTATCTGTTTTGCTGCAAATCTATGTTGTTTTCTTTTTCTTATAACGGGAAGTGAATACTTTGTTGTTTTATCAACAAGTTAACTTATCATTGATACGATTTCGCATACGAAATATATACAGATCGACGGATAGGTTTGAAATCAAAAAACTTAAATTTCTAAAGTCAAAAATATCAAAAATGTCATTCGACTTTATGCTTTCAGAAAATATCGCCCTTGGTAAAGTCACCAGGCAAAGTTCTATTCGAGATAGCTGGGACAGCTCTAAAGCCGTAGACGGATGCGTCCTCACATATATGACCTCCAACTGCTGTACACACACGGCAGGAGGCCAGACCGAGGCCTGGTGGCAGGTAGATCTACAAACCCAGTCCGTCATATCCTCCGTGAATATTTTGTACCGAGGTAAGATTATGTGGACGGTATCTTGTTTAGGTATTTTTTTCCGGAGGTATGTAAACTAGAGGCTTCAATAAAATTGATTTAAACTAGTGGAGAAAGTTCTTTCAATTTATATTAATCACTCTTTTTGGCTCGGATTTAATTGCGCAGGAGTTCCTAATAGGGAAGAAATTTGAAGTAGCTAGGGACAACCTTCGTTGTTGGGCGGCTGACCCCCTATATTTTCGGGGGCGGCGATGACCAAGTGGCTGAGGCATCTGACCGTCTATCATCACTAGCACTCCAACTTGGTCGAATGTTCGAGGCCTTCGTGGGGCAGTCGCCAGGTACTGACTGCTAGTCGGTGTTTTTGTTCATCTGGATACTCGTCCTCCAGCACCATTACCTTGTGCATCCTAAATAATCATAGTTGTTGTTCAGGAAAACGAATCCTACGGGAGGGGATCACCGCCATAATAAAAAAAAATATATAAAATTAGCTATTTGGGTTTATAATCTAATTATATGTACATTTGTATTATTTCCCTAGTTGATAAGTGTCTTTTTCCATTTTATGTACATTTGTGTTGTTGCACTCGTTTACAAATATATTGCGTGTTCATTCCATGCTATGCTACTTTTCATTCCATGCTATGCTAGTTTTACCGATCGCAATTTCGTGTTAGCTTGTTGTATTAAATCCATTTCAGACTTACGTGATGTATATAATCAGTAAATTCTATCAGTTGATTTGATGCTTTCGTAATTTTTGTAAAAACAGATATTCGAAACTAACGTTTTATTCAGAAATAGCTAGCTAGTCAACTAGTAAAGTAGTAACCCAGTAAATGAAATGCGAGAGGTTTCCTCATTATGACGACGAACGGCGCTTCGATCGTCTTTAATATACACGGACCGCTCCTCAACCGCATCCGGATCATATTACTAACGTAATGTCGTTATTTGTTTACGTTTTGCCTATTGCATTTTTAAGGTTCTTATATTTATTACTGCATAAATCAAATATATGTTCAAGAACATATTAATGACGACGTCAATATTGATGAAGAGTGGAACAGTGCGAGAATACCTTTAAGAGCCTGCACAAGAAGATGAATTATATTTCCTCAAGTCTAGAAACTAATCACATAAACTAAATATGAGTCTAATCTTGACAGAGCGTAGAGCTTGTCTTCCCCCCTCCCATACACACATTTGAAGAAAGTGAAAGAAATTAAAGGAGATGTATCATAAAATAATGTATTCATACCTTTATGTAGGTTAGAATTTACAGTAACTTAACCATCTCTTACCCCCTATGGCAATCTGACCCCACCCCCACCCCAATTACAATTCTGTATCACCTGTACCTATTCTTATATATACATTTTAGCTGAACTTATAGAAGAGTTTGAAGTGGCTTTTGGGACAAGATTACCATAGGTCACAGATAAGAGAAGAATATGAACCAACTTCCTCCACCAAACAAGTTATTTTTAATTTTTAGAGTCAATCTGAGTAAACCATTATGTATTTTTGTCCATACCAATGAAACAGGAGTTTTTAATAAGAAGGTTTAATTGAAAGAAAAATCATACATACTTTCAAACCTAACACAAACGTGCTGTCATCAATATCTATTGCTTCATAGACAAGTTTGTAGCAGATGTCCATGTCGCAATTTGGTAAATTATACAATTGTGAATGGTTCGTGGTATATATTTCGAAGAGAATAATTCAAATCAAATAAAAAAAAATAAAAAAAATGCTCTAATATAAAGACAAATATATGAAGTTTGCAACACTGAACAATTGTTTAAGTTTATATATATGCAGCAATTATGATTCAGTAGAGCAACACTTCCTGCATCATCGATTCAAGTATAACCCGTGTAATAGGTTTTGTTACCGAGATATGGACTTCAACAACTTTCTTAATGTTGTCGTGAATTCGGTGTGTGGTTTCACACCGCCACAACAAGTAGTTGGAACTGCTCTTAGATCCCGGAATCTATGCAACAATGGGGAGGAAAATCACTCACGTGTATTCAATTGAACGTCAAGATGTAAAGAGACCGCGCCAATACGTCACAGCGAAGTTGTCGCGTAGCTCGACGAGATGTCGTGTCGGCGCGGTCCACGGTCTAGGGGGGATAACTCTCCCGAAATTTACCACAATGTGCATTGATGTACAATGTATAAGTTAGTCATTGAAGTCTAAAATGTAAGTCAAATTCAGCATCTTCACACATTAATAAGAGTGTCCATATAGCTGCGTCATTGATGCCATCATTATGCAGGTATTACCTAGATTTACCCAGAAATGGAACCAACACATTGTCTTGATGGGAATGGATGGCGAGACCGAATCCATTTATACATCCTCTGCAAACTTCGTTGAGTAGGGGCTGGGAATTATAAACGTTACTGGTGAGCAGAGACGTTTACGTCTCTGTTGTGAGGCAAACATACAAAGATGAAGATGTATAAAAACACACATACATAACAAAATATCAATATGCATAAAAGTTAACAAAACAATCACTATGACAAAGTTATCAACAACTATGCTGTCATTACATATATCTATATACAATTATAAGGGCTCCGTGTTTTTCAATTTAAAAAAGTCATTTAAAGAAAAAAGTGGACAGACAGACTTATGGCAGACACTTCAATATACCATAATATTACGACAGTTTGTACCAGAAGAGCTAAAAAGTGTATCTCAAGTTCTGAACCATAATATTTGTCTTTCTTTCATTCTGACTGTATGGCCAAATCAGAAAAATCACAACAATAATCAATCACTAGCCACGGTATACATGTCAGTGATCAACGTTCTTTTTAGTTCATATCCAACTGTTCCATGATCAATAACCGATCAGAATTTATAAAAGCAAACATGTCTTCCGTCTTCTTTTGTTCATCCTGTCTCAATTCGCCTCTTATCTAGGTGAGTTACATACAAAAGCGAGACCGAAAGTGAAGTATTACATCCATAGTTATCTCCCTTATGCATGTTATAGTATGATATACATAATAACCCCTCCACAAAACAACATTTTGCAACAAAAATGTATTATGTATATGGAGGACAACATGAAACATAAAAACTAACATGTATCAGCAAATATATCAAGCTTTGTATAAAAAAATCACAGAAACATTTAAGCATTTTAGAAGTTCATTTCGCCAAAAAAGAATATATTGTACAAAATCGTATCGAGTCAATTTGACATGTATGGCATTTGTTATAAACTGGACTATTTCAGAAATATGATACATGCAATACATGAATATTTATATAAACACACTGAACTAGTAACAGATACCAATTTGGCCATTTTCAAATGGAATAACTCATATACAGTAAATATCAAAGTCATTTAGAAGCAAAGGAGATAATTCATTATTGACTTAAATCCTTATACTTTAGCCTCAGAATGTATGTGATATTTGGCAATATTTTTAGTTATATCTAAAACAATATTGACACATCAAAATATAGATATGTACGAACAGGCAATTACCTCGGGTAAACAGTGAGATGTACTAAGATTTATCAAGTACTAAGTATCCTAAAAACTACTAATGCAGTACCAGAGCATTTGATACTCTGTGTGATTATCATTTCAGAACACTGAATACATATGACAAACTTATCACGACCATAATTGTCTAGTTTGCACAATAGCACCATGCCACAATTACCATAAATTCATTCAAAATCGACATTAGAAAACCAGACTGTTATATTCTAAAATAGCTGCAATGTAAAAATATCCACAAAGCAGCATCATTTCACAATTCCTTGAAACTTGTACACTGTGAATATGAGATATACACAAAATTGTATAATGCATAAAAAATGACAATGGAACACATTTTCGAACAACATTGTTCAACATTCCAGAATATATCAATATATTAAAAAGAGTAAAAGATTCAAAATCTACTGTATCTGGTCTTTAAGTAAATAGTTCACATGTTAATTGTGAAGTGTCTATATTACTAAGATATCAATGCAATGTTGGTGGTGGGTTTTTCTGCACAGCCCTCCTAACATTAGCATTTAAGTCAGAAAATCGTAACCACATGCCATTGTTCCGTCTCTGCCCTATCACTTTCTGCATTTTTTAATAGACAGTGTTTGAGTCTGTTGTGGGCTCAGAAGAGAATGCGTTTACATTGTCCTCACTGCGATGTCGTTGGGGTTTGGGCGCGTTACAGCGAGGTCGGTTAACACCGGTAAGTTTTGAGTTTTACCCTGCTGACGAGATATAGGAAGGGCTTGCAGTTCTCGACGTGTTCGAGATCGCGGTTGCTGTCTTGCAGAAAGATCTTCAAGACTACTGTCCTCTGAGGATAGTTCCTTTGAACCTGGTGATGTAGAGTTAGTATCCTAGGCATGGTCCACCATTTTCAAGGTCTGTGTCGCAACATGAGTACATTTCCATTCACTGGTGATTATTTTACCAAAAGAAAGTAAGGAACATGATGAGGTTCTCGCACATACGCCATCTTTAGTCTGTCAATATGAACAAGAAAATCTAGTTTAGTGTCAGAATTTGGACGTCGGAGTTAATGGTATGTTCCGAGCAGATTTTCTGAACAACAAACGGACCGTCATTTTTATCTTGTAATTTCTGGCCGGGACCAGTAGGGTCCTGTAGGCGATATAAAATGTCTCCTGGTTGTAGTCGTAATTGTTTCACACCCTTGTTCATTCGATCAATCATGGCTGCCGTAGATTTGTCGACTGTTTCAAACATGGCTGTACGGATCGTTTCCAAACGTTCCATAAAGTTCATAGCAAAGGCTGTCACTGCTTAGTGTTCGTCCCAAGAACGAGTATCCTTCTGCAATAATTTTGTCATACGTGCAGCCAATGCTGCATGTGTTCTCTCACAAGCCCTTAAACAGTGGTGTGTATAAGGTGTAGTGAATTCCTGCTTGAGTCCCAACAATTTGCATGCCATCTGTGAAACTTATGCTGTAAACTCAGATCCGTTATCCGTGAT